TGAGGTAACCCAGGCCCAGAAGGACAAACATGGAATGTATTTCCTCCTAAATTAATACTAGATGTAAAGCAAAGGACAACTAAGCTACAGTCTACAATCCCAGAGAAAATCGAACCTACATCCAGTAACTGATGGGAGCAGATGCAGTGACCCATAGCCAAGCACGGGGCTGCAATTCTGGGGTTCATTTGAAGAGAGGAGGGAGGGATCATATGAGCAAGGGGGTTGGGAGAATTATGGGGAAAACGACAGAGAATTCGTAACTCTTTTATTTGGTCACTGCTTCAGGTTCCTCTGTGGCGTCCTCTTGAGAGAGAGGAGATGGGGCAGGCGCTAAGCAACAGCCAACGGGTAAGCTATTCATTTGCCATTATGCTATAGAAACAGAATATGCAATTGTGTTATTGTATATTTTGCACAGAGGGACATTATGGTCCTGCAGACCCTACAGAATTTTTCAGGAAGGAGGAGACCTTAGAGACCATTAACTGAAAAGCTGACAGAAAGGACACTAGCTGAAATGCATCCCTGTAAGAAGATAAGATGCTAATTTTTAGAGGCACTCAGAAGTTGGAAAATCAATTTTTCTTAACGTGGAGAATTATTGAGTGGCTAGAAAAGCATCTTACTCCATGAAATATAGTCATTGTTTAGTGCCTTTCCATTTTATTTACTATTTAAAGCATACAACAGCTAGTTAACCAACTACTTATAAAATATATTTAATGTTTAGAGGCACTCAGTGTGGTTATCAAATGATTTTAAGGGTATACAAAAATGGTACATTAACCACATTTCATGAACTATGGTTCCCTCTGGAAAAACAAAAACATTTTCCCTGGCATCCTGCGGCATCTCATCCTGAAGTTTGTAAATGGCCCACGCTGCTCAACCCGGCTGCCTCTCTGGCTTTTGATGCCAGCCACTTTAGAGCACACACCAGAAAGATCAATATAACCCGTACGTAAGTGATAGAGCACGGTGCACTCAAAGGCTGTTAGAATCTCCAGTAAAGAATGGCTTGACAGATGCAATGAAATTAAGCAGCATGCACAAAACCCCAGCAAAGAGGTGGTGTGGTTGTAGTCTTTTCTCCGTACATGGGGGATTGATGGGTGCATCGTGACATAAGATGCACTGAGATGAGACCTGGCCCCTGCCATGTGCATGCATTAGTGAGTTTATGGCCTATGAAAATGTGGGGAGAGTCTAACAAAGGTGTTATAAGAATTGGGCCTTTTTCCAAATGGAGAATTATGACAAGTTAGACAAAAGGAGACTCAATGTCAACTTAAGAGCAAAGGGATGTTCAAATAATTTTATTTCCAAAGAGTATCCCAGTCCCTGAAAATGCTCTACCAAAATTCACTAATGCCTGCTTTCATCACTGAAGTTCCCTTGCCTTGGTTATTGATAAAAAGCGACGGAAACCTGCCTTCAGCACCCAGCTCACATGCTACAGTTAGACGTAATGATGTCTGCTTGGCTTTGTGTACCTTTCTGGTCTGCTTGTAGTCCAGGACTTTGCTGTGCTTATGTCAGGGGAAGGATGCAAAGATGGACCAAGAGAAACCTTGTGCGATATCCATTCTTTAGTTCATTCTTTACTTAGTTAAGGGGAATTTTCGTGGGTACCAATTCCAAAAGCTAAATTCTAAGTGTCTAATTGCCAGAGGCTCATTACACACAAATGTGAATGCTAAAACCTTCAGAGGAACTCAGTGGGAGTTGCGCCCCGTAATTCTTAAGTTTTAGTTCCAGGAGACTTATCGGATGGTCAAAGTAAAGATGAGGGAAAATGTGCTCTTAGGCTTCTGTCAGGAAGAGCAAAGAGCAGCCACTTTGAAAGTTTCCAAGAACTTCAAAAGCCTGCCAAAAACAAACCTATTTCGCCAGTTACCTAATCCACTACTGTGTTTTCATATAAGCCTAATTAATCTAACAAATAGGAAATGCTGACTCCAGCATGTGTCCCAGCCACAGCACCCAGGACAAGAGGTAACTTTCCGGATTTGCTTCTCTTCTTCTATCTTGTGGCTCCTAGGGATGATTCAGGTCCAAGTCTTTGCCTATGAGAATGTTTTACCCTCTGAGCCTTTCACTGGCTCCCCTGCTTTCCTGTATGCAGCATTCAACAATGAAAAGTTTTGATTTCTAAATATACCGCCATTTTCACTAGCATACCCCAAAATGAAATGCTTAGGTAAAAGTTTAATAAAATATCTTTAGGACATATATGAGGATGCCCCACCTCCAAATCAAAGAACCAAATAGAAAGTATCTATATTCATGGGTAAAAATTCCAATATTATCAATTTATTCTATATTGATCTATAGATTCAATATAGTCAATATTGTCTACTGCATACTGCAGCAAGCTCTAAGGCATCTTTCTCTTGTGTGACATGTACGTGATGTGTGTCCACATGGGGAAGCCAGAAAATAACATACAAAATATCCCATGTTGTTACTCAGGTACTGACCCCCCCAACACACACACACTTTTTTTTTGTTTGTTTCTCAAGACAGGGTTCCTCTGTAGCTTTGGGGCCTGTTCTAGAACTAGCTCTTGTAGCCCAGGCTGGCCTCAAACTCACAGAGATCTGCCTGCCTCTACCTTCCGAGTGCTGGGATTAAAGGCATGTACCACCATCATCGCCTGGCCACCCTCCCACTTTTTTTTTTCTGAGACAAAGTTGTCACCAGCTTAGAGCTTAAAACTCACCAAGTAGGCAAGTGCCAGGGATCTGCCCATCTCTGCCTGCATCCCCAGTCTCAGGGCTACAAGTGTGCACCACTACTTCTGGCCTTCCTTTCTTCTCTCCTTCTCTCTCTCTCTCCTTCTCTCTCTCTCTCTCTCTCTCTCTCTCTCTCTCTCTCTCTCTCTCTCTCTCTCTCTCTCTCCCTCTCTCTCTCTCTGGCCCTCAAGCAGTTTACAGACTTCACTATCACGAAAATTCTCAAGACTTAAATTGTACAGAGAAGTAAAAGACCCAGAGTAGCACACAGCAATGAAGAACTATGTAAGAACTATGTAAGATGGCTTGATAACACTTGTCTTCTAGAATTCAACTAAAATTGCAGCCTCCAAGAGAGTGTAATACATACGAAGGACAGACAAATAGGTCATTGGAACAGAATGGAAAGTCCCAAAATAGGAGCTACACATATAGTCAAATTATCTTTGGTAAAGGATCAAAGTAATGCAATGGAGAAAATAATGCTTTCAAGAAGTGGGGCTGAGTTGGACACACATGTATATACATATCTTACTCTTCCAACACTGATAACAGCAAATGCTTGGATGGACACAGAACAAAGCTCTGATTCATTGTCAACTGGAATGAGAAATTGTGTGGTAAACTTAGGAGACAGTTTGGCAAGGTTCCTGTTGTTTGTTTTGTAGCATTTTGTAGTTTGGGGACTGAACCTCTGGTCTCATGCATCCTAGGAATGCATCCCATGGCTAAGCTATGTTCTCAGCAAGGTATGGTCTTACAAAACTTAACATAGTCACCATGCCACAATTCAACAACAGCTTCCTCAACATTTGCTCGGATGAACTGAAATCTTACATCCATACAAAAACTGATACACATGCACACAGACAGATATATATATATATATATATATATATATAACGATTTTATTAATAATTGACCCAACTGAAAAGCAACCAAAATTTTCTTCAGCAAGTGAAATGGAAAAACAAACAGCTGAACATCAAGGTAACACAATTTTATCTAGTGCTAAAAATAAATGAGCTGCCAAGCCACAGAAAGACATGACAGAAACATGCATGCGCTTATTCACTCTGTGAAATAAGCCAGCCAGAAAGGTTACAGACCGCATGAGTCTCTGGAATGATCTCTGTTCATAATTATGATAACAGTGATAGAACCTTGGTTTCTAGAGATTTGGAGGAGGGAGTTATACAAAGATGGAGTGAAATGATTTTTTAAAGACAGTGACTATCATGACAAGACACACTGCATATTTGCCCAAGCCTAAAGGATACACAACTCCAAAAGCAAATGCTAAAGTAGACAGAGTTGAAGTGTAATGACTTAGGAACATAAATTCACCAAGTGTAACCCATGGCCACGTGTGGTGTGTGATGATGGTGGTAGCAGGCCTGGGGCCATCCTGTGTGGATTCACAGGTTTCAGAAACCTCTCTGTACTTCCCATACCATTTTACTGAAAACCCCAAATTGTTCTGGAACACTGGCTCCGAGCTCATGCAAGCAACCCTAATTAAACTTAGTGGATCACGAACAAAACAGCAACAAAAATGAAAACAACATGAATGTAGGTGTGAGGTTATTTGGGGAAAAGTTGTTCAACAGGATGGAGAATGAGAGTGGGTAATGGGGGAGGTAGAATTCATTCTCCAAAATCTTCTCCTGTGAATGTCTGAGACCTCAGAAAAATAAAATGACAAAACAAAAGATACCAGGCATTTGATGAACTTACACCAATGGAGATTATAATAGTCTAGCAAACAGATTTCTTGTATTATGGTAGTGGTTGCGCTTTTAAGGAGAGTGCTGTTTTCACACAGACAAATACAGCTACAGAATCTCCAATACATCTCCTTACTGTGAATGTTTTGGAGATTAGGTTCTATTAGCACACGCTGAAACCGATGGTAAAGATGAAGTCTGTAAAGTTTCGAATCAACATTTTTACTTTTGCTCGAGGAAAAAATGTCAACCCAGGTTAGTGCTTTAAGATTTAATCCATTTCTATGCTTTCTCTCTTTCTTAGGAGATTGAGTGCTTTTTCATGTGGACTAGTTCCAACACAAATGCTAATAGGTATAACAAGTGCTTAGTGAGGTATTCCAGCTCTGGAGTTCCTCCCCAAGAAATAGCCAGGAAAACTAAATTACCTTCAGATAGGTTTGCTGAAGGCCACGCTACAGAATCAGGCAGCTTTAAGGGCCCTGTTGACAGACAAAACTGGGTCTAGCTATGAAGACCTTGCCTCTGCATGGGCTTAGGTCGGTCGATGGCTGTGCCTTCGATGGGATCTGTGTGGCTCACTGTGGTGCCTGGAAGGATAAGGGGTTGACTCTCTGTTTCGGTGGTGGGTAGAGATTCTGCGGATAGGGCCCGGCCTCTGCTCACGATATGCTGAGCTGGTTTCCCTGATAAACTCATTCCTGCGCCTCGGGGAAACTCTGCGAAGTGGCTGTTGCTGGGAGGATGGAGAGGAGGACATGGGATCTTCTCTGCGGCTTGGCAGGTTTCGAGCATGAGAGGAAGATCTCTGAGGACTGTGGCGGTGGTACCTGGGCGAGGAAGAGTGCCTAGACACTGGGGCTTCACTCAGCTCACGTCTGTGGTGGTCTTGAGGCTGCCTTCTATCTGCCCGGTCTGGCTGTCTCTGGGCGGGAACATCCCTGATCCACCTGCCCACAGGGTTGTGAGCAGGGAGGACCACGCCCCAGGCGTCTGCCACGTGCGCCAGCAGCAGCTGCGAGAGGTAGCGGTGCGCCCGCTCGTCCCAGTGGACGCCATCACTCAGTCGGTGCTGCCCCGCGTGGCGGAAGTGGAAGTGGAGATCCAGCACGTCGAAGCCACGCCTCACCGCCTCTGATGAGCTGTAGAAATTGGCCTCCATCACATCTTCGCGCAGGCGCGTGGGGCAGGCTGGCGCATCAGGCAGGATGAAGCCCCCAGATACGACCTCGGCTATAGGCATGGCGGTGTTCCACACCAGGAGGCAGGAGGCAGGCAGCACTTGATCCAGGCGTCTGAACAGCTTCTCCAGGTCCTCTTGGTAGCGCCTACGGAAGTTGCGTCCATATCTGGACAAGTCCCAGAGGCAAGAGTTCATGACCACCAAGTCGGGGGCATACTGGCCCCAGCGCAGCTGATGCAGGATGTCCTCGACGTAGGGCGAGTAGGCACGTGTGAGGAAGTAGAAGCGCACCAAGTGGTGGCCCGAGCAGAACTGGCGCACCTCGCGGTAGTGGGTGCCATTGTGCATGCGTCCCCACCTGCCGCCCTCCAGCAACACGTCGTGCTCGAAGCTCAGCTCACCTTTACTCTTCAGCTGACTGGAAGACAGCAGGCAGTCTTTCTGCAGCAGGAGAACCAGGTCCTTGTACACGGCACGCTGGATGGAGTCCCCCAGGATGACGACGAACTTGTTATGCAAGAGCTTCTGGACTTCGTGAGCTCGGAGGTGGGGCATGATGGCTTCCTTCGTGGGAGCTCCCTTCCTGGGAGCTCGGGGAAAGCAGGGAAGCTCACAGTAGAGCGCTCCGCGCAGCTTTCTGGCCGCGAGGTTTAGGACAGCAAGCTTGAGCTCCTGAGGCTGTAGACTGCCTCATCCGGTTTGCCACCGCCCACAGTGTGACCTCTGAACCCTGAAAACTGTTGCGTGCATCCCGGCTCCACCTGGCGGATGGGAGGCGTAGCACCTCATCAGGAAGTAGTGGCACCCAGGGAGTACAGGCGGATGTCCTGGGCATGGGCGCTCTGGCTTCTGCTGACTAGAGTGGCCTCAGCCAGGGTCTCAGGCCGGCTGAGGTCTTTTTGGCCTCCAGCGTCTTGTTCACGTCTGCAGCTCTGGAATGCCTTGAGGGTGCTTTCTCTCACTGCTTTCTTTACCGCGAACCTTACTCTAGTTGACTTTTTTTTTTCTTTGTGTTTCCATCCTGGGGAGAATCGGTTCTGGAGGGTAGAACCCTGCCTGACACTCACTAAGCTACTGCCATGGTGACTCTGCAAGCCACGATGGGTAGAAAGCACAGTCCGTTGTAAGAAATAGTAGAGAATTCCCACGTACCTTTGACCAGCTTTCCTGTAACCGTGAAATCCTTAAGGACTTAGGTTATCTTTGTACGAAGGTATACGGGCTGTTTTCTCGCCACAAGATACGTTTGTACTTGCGTTGGCTTCTTGTCTCCTTCACTGTCCCACTCCCTAACTCCAGGTAACCACTTAAAATAATCTCCATTTGCACAATTTACCATTTCAGGAATTCTATGTAGGTGGGATTGTACAGTGTGTGGCCACGAGGAATCTCCCCACCCCACCCCCAACCCTTGTTGGCCCCTGCATTTGTCAACTTTCCAGTCTGCTCTTGTTGTCTGAACTAGGTGAATTTACTGGTGATGGAGATGTCTGTCCTTTCTTCTTTTTACTCCCGGAAGCCGTCCATTGGAAGGACAGCTGGCTTGTTCGCCGGTTTTGTCTGTCACAAACAGCACTGCTGAACATCCTGTACAGGTTTCGAGTAGACCTGCATTTTCTTTATTTTGAATGAGCCCAATACAGTCATTGTAAAGCTGGAGGATAGCGGCACGGCTAGCGCTTTAAGAAATGTTTTCGCTTATCTGGTGTATCTCATGCTTTGTAGTCCTAGGAGGAAGAGACAAGAGGCTAGTGAGTTTGGGGCCAGCCTGAGCTATTTATCAAATAGTGAAAGTTAGTATCCGAAGAGAAAGGAAAATCTCTTCCTTTCTGGGTCCATTCTCACTGGTGCGAATAACAGTTTTTGAGAATAATGTTTTTTTCTTTTTAAAGATTTATTTATTTATTTATTTATTTATGTATGTATACAGTGTTCTGCCTGCATGTATACCTGCGCACCAGATCTCATTACAGATGGCTGTGAGTCACCATGTGGTTGCTGAGAATTGAACTCAGGACCTCTGGAGGGGCAGCCAGTGCTCTTAACCTCAGCCACCTATCCAGCCCATGAATAGCGGTTTTTATTTCTTTTCTTTCTGGGTTTTCATCTGCATAGTCTGAATATGTTAAACCCCAAATCTTTCATATACTTACTCAAGCAGGTCTAACTCCAGGGAGTCAAAAAAAAAAAAAAAAGCTTTCTTTTTCTTTGGATGCACTTGTGGATGCTATTAAGCCCCATGGAATCTGCTTTAAGATTCCCTTGTCACTAGGTTATCTTAGACCATTTAACAGGTGTTTGGGAAACCCAGTGAAATAATGCTTCCTTTGGGAGCTAAGAGAAACCAGAGATTTAGGGCACTTACCTGGGCAGGGATGTGAAGAACAGTTAGGTTTGGTTCTGAAGCCAATAATGAAGTCTGAAACCACCACTGACTTAGTGTTCAGGAAGGAAGGAAGTCAGATGGGCAGGTCTTACCTTTCAGGGGCTTCTGCAGTTCTCCAGTTGTGCATAGTGTACGTGCTGCTTTGGGCAGAAAGAACCCCCGAGGTTCTACCCACATCTTCTTGGGACATTTTGAGCCATCTTTATTTTACTCTGTCTTCTCCAGTGATTCAGCTGCCCTTTCTCCTCTAGGAATTTCTCAGACTTTCATTGTAAATCTCTTAGGCTTTAGGACTAGTTTTCATTTTAAAACTGTATCTATAATTTTGGTATAATTAAAACAATAAGGAATCTTGCTTATCTTTCATCTATCAGTCACTTCATTTACTTATTTTTTACTACAGAGACACATATCTTGCATATTAAATTTTACTTTGCTAAAGTTGTTTCTTTGAGATGGTGGTTGGTAGTGTAAGAAATAATTTCTAAGATAATTTTCACAATATGGCAATATATAACCTTATGAATCTGTATATAGAAAGTTGAAACAATACCTTTTGACCTACTGCTTTTGTAGAATCTGGAAAAATTACTTTTTATTCTAATAATCTTTTAAAATGACCCTCCAAATATCTCTTTGTACTTTGACTAAGCACACACATAGAAAAAATAAAGAAATATCATATCAATAAGTTATTTACATTTGTGTATAATTTGGATTCTATAGTCTAATTAGTTTGTCTTCCTCTTAGCTTTGAAGAGTCAATGATAACAATACTTTTCCCCCAAAAAAGCAGATTAGGTCACATGTTAATTTCAGTATATTTTGACTCCCATGCAGTGAAATATAAATTTCAAAGTAAATATCTATATTTATTTATTTTTCAATAATAAAGAGGATGGCATATCCAGTTGGTGAGATAAAATTTCCTTGAAATGGGTAGGAAACATAGATGAATAAGTATGACCTATTTAATAAATAGCTTAAGATTTAAAAGAAATGCAGAGCAAAACCAAAGTATTAAGACATTTTGAGTGGGGCGAGAGAAGTGTATGGATAGAGGTGTGTATAGCTACACCCATGTATGGGCCGAAGCCAAGAGTGGCTGGCAGAGTCAGATTTCAAATTTTATGGTAACAGTTTCACTCCTCGGTTCTTCAGAGTTTAGAACATCATTCTGGTTGTAAGAGTTAAGAGTTCATCATGTTGATGGTAAGAAGTATGTGAAAGAAAAATCAGGCCCCAGGAAGGCATAGCCTGCAAATGAAGATACGGCTAATGAGGAGATGTGCTCGCTGGCCAGAGAGGCCTTGGCTGACTGGTAGTCATCCTGCCCTCTTTCCCTCCTGCCAGCGGTTTCTATGCCCTGCTTTATTTTTCTTTACTGCCTTTACTGTTACATGCCATTTTATTGTTATCATTTTATGATTACCTTATCATTTTCTTATTCCCTCAGATTTAAACTCCATGAGAAAATTACTTGTTTCCGTTTGTCCATGCTTCCTCGGCTTTTAAAATGATTTTGACTGTGTGGCCAATAAGTCAATACATGTCTCTGTGGTGCAAACAGTAAGCCATGGAAATTCATGATGGGGAGAGAGCTTTCAAAGACTGCCCCGACACCCATCTAATACTTGTATTGCCTAAGTAATGCTTCTGCTCTTACACTCATTCATGTGTCAGAGTCGTGGAGAGTTGCCCTCCCTGAGAGATTGTTCTGTCCTCGGGAAGTAGAAACAGTAGCTGAGTATGGCTGTACTCCGAGAACATGTTCTCAAGTTTCTGTCCTGAAAGAAGAAAGGGAGGAAGGGAAGGCAGGAGGAGAGGAAATGGAAAGAAGAAACAGAAGTGAGAAAGGGGAGGAAAGGAAAAGGAAACTGGACTGTTAAGAGTCTTTGATTTTGGTCCATGTCTGGGCCCATCATCCTCCTGCAGCCGGGATCTGTGTGGATGTCCACAGCCAGTGCTGCCAGCGAAGGCCACACAGGTGTCTGTGGTTCGTACTGAAGCCTGAACCCATGCTGACATCCGGGGACTGTGCTGCTGCGGCTGCTGAGGACCGTGTTGTTGTGAATGGCTCGCACTGCCACCCGAGGCCATGTCGGTGTCCTTGGCCTGTGCAGCGGCAGAGGGTCATGCTGACCTCCATGGTCTGTCCTGCCACCAGAGACCACGCTCAATTCTGTGGCGTGTGCTGACGCTGGGGACCCTGTGGGTGCCCATGGTCGATGCCGTCTCCAGAAACCATGTGTAAATCCGTGGTCTGTGCTCCCACAGACAGCAAAAGGCAAGGAAGCTGCGTTTGCCTTTGTATTAATGACTGCAGAGTCATAGTGGAGAAAGAGAGACGCAGAAGGCTTCGGTGAGAATCCTCCGAAGCCTCCCCCAACCCTCCGCCTGAAAAAAAAGCAACCTTAGACAGAAATCAATGGAAGAGAGCCCTTAAAAGTTGTGATAAGGATGCTGAAGTGTAGCTCTCTGCAGGTGATGGCTTCTGGCAGAGGTGCAGGCAGGGAAGGCTGTTTTATTTAATGGGCTGGCCGCTGTGAGTTGGACCAAGTTCCAGTGAGTTTATGGACAACACAGATTGGAGTATCTTTTCGTCCTAAGGGTGAAGGGAACAGACCTGGGAGGGACTGGGAAGTGAGTGTGCATGGGGTTCATGATATGAAATTCCCTAATCAATCAAATAGTATAAAAAAAGTTTGATTTTTTTTTTAAAAAAATACCACTTTATATCTTGAGATATTAGAGGATTGTCATAATTATTCTCCAATGTTGCTGTCTTTAATGTTATTTGGAGACCACTAATCTCTGGGTTTTTTAAATATTAGCCTTAAATCTCTTCAAGTTATTTACAATACCAACGCATGGTTCTCATTGTGTGTTTACACATGTCTGTATACTCCATGAACACAGCAGTAGGCGACTCAGAAGTATGTCGCCAGGCCACAGAAAGAGCTGCCCTGCATGGTAATATTGTGAATCCTTGTGAGATAATGTCCCCTTTCTCTCCTGAAAGGACTAAGTTTTTGACACAAATTCTCGGTCCTGCATATTTGGGGGTGTGTAGGGAAACAAGCATATTTCCCCTGTTTGTTTGTTCCTTATTCTTATTCAGCGTGTTGATTGAGCAGTAGTAACAAAACCTTCAGATTCAAGTTGTCAT